CATTTTAAAATCAACAAGTAAAGTAACAAAATGATCATTTATTGAATCGAATGGTGTCTTGAAAATTATGGAAATCTGACTCTACAAGAAAGACGTAACTTACCTGATATCGATGATATGTGTCAGTGATGGCATTCAGTCGTGTACATACATTACGAACTGACCATAAAATGGTTAATGCATTCAGATTGTCCAGAATGCGATAGACAAGCTCAACAGGTAATGTCAAAAGAGGCGACGGAACTGTACCAGACATAAATGTTGTTTGCTTTCGGATGGGGTATGCTTTGTTACAATGAGTGTTGGTTGAAACTTATTTTTCTTTATATTGATGCATTTATTAACAATATGTCACTCGCCTTCATCATGCTTGAATGATTCTTCTTGCATGAAGAAATAAAACAAGTGTAGTACGAAGAATCCAATGAAAAAGCAAATTCGTCAAGCTACATGTCAATATATCACATGCTTTTACCTGAGTTTTATACAAAACTTTTCAAGTATGCATAATTGACCGTTCGCAAGAATTTTTATTCTTCTTGAATAAATTCGAGATCTCCTTCAACTTTTCTTCTTGTTCGTTTCGTTTGGACATTTAATATAAAAATAACGAGAGAAAAGACGAGTAAACGTTGTGGAAGACAAGAGAGGAAAAAGCCGACATAAACCAGAAAATATATCGGTAAAGATGTTAATAATGGGATTTGATCGTTACTATACCAATAAATACGACACATATGAATAAAATACAAGATCAAAAATAATACTTTTTGGATAATAATTTCGTCAAGACGAAATCAGTTTTCGATAAAAAAGAGCAAAGACTGCAATAATGTCATTTTTACTTTTAGTCATTTTTGTGAAATCAAAAATAGTGTTGAGTAACAAGCTGTAAATGAAATTCCAATCAAGTAGCATTAAGAGATAATTAATTCTAAAAATTTTTCAGATATAAATGTATATTTCTTTTCGAAATTTATTACTCAGAGCAAGTTCTTCGGTTTCTGTTGAGAATTGAATTTTTGCATTTTAAGTTGTAATCTCACAATAATTTTTAATTCGGAGAAAAGCACAGAGTATCGATTGTAATGCATTGTATAAATAACAGCCTTACATTCAGAAAAGATGACTCAAGGAAAAAGAGGAATCCACAAGAAATTAAATATTCAACCTTTTTGGAGAACGATCAAAATATTACTATCATTTCTTATTTCATTTATTAAATTACAACCGCTCTTCATTCGATCCAGAAAAACTTACATTGACTAAAGTTATTTTTTCAACTTGTTCTTTATTCTTTCCGACTATCTCTAATATGTATCAGGTATCATTACAAATGCTTCCTAAAATGCAAATTTTATCGTCATACATAGCCGGATTACGCCAATTAACTGGCTAATATACTAAAGAATAGTAAATACTTGAAAAGAATCTAACAGAAGCCAAAGAGAGAAAATGACCAAAAATAGTGATAGAACTAGAAGAATTGAAATGACTAAACGGATTAAAGGAAGTAGGGTAGATAATAGCTGAAAGAGATTTCTAGACTGAGATAACTTTCATTTCTTGTAGATCTACGACAAATACATGAGTGAAGTTAGCAGCGGATTCGAGTTTTTTGGGAAAATATTTATCTAGAGACTTGTGCCAAAAAAAAATATTGATTGTGCTAGATAGAGTATCGATTATGCTGCAAAAGGTGTGATTTTCAAAAGAATTTTATTATGAGGAACGACTGAAAAATTTATAAAAACCTACTTTTAACACACTGTCTTTAATGAAAAATCTGCATTTCAGCCTAATGTTCGTCCCAAGTATTGTAACAAGCGAGAAATTATTCCTTCCGTATAGAACTCGAATAATTCTATCGATTGATGCCAAATTTGTCTATCTTCATCAGTAGGATCGGCGTCCACGGAACTAAAGGCTATTGAGATTTGAATTTCAGCACACTATATCACGAAATATTCGTTCCAAGAGTTGTGATAATCTAGAAAACAATTTAAACCACATAGTGCTCGATTGATTCTATCGATTGTTACGAAACTCAAATCGCTGTATGAGCAGGATTGGCATTTACGTAGTCTCAACGTGTAGAAGTGCGGATTCGGATATATGTATTCAACACAATAGTCGTTGCTCTTGGAACAAATATTTTGTGATGACATGTATTGAAATTCTCATCCCTAGTAGACTTTGGTCACGTAGATATTCATTCTGTTGATGAATGGATGTTGAATTTAGTACCAATCGATAGAATCCATCGAGATATATTTGGCACAAATGGTTTCTTGATTGACACAACTCTTGAAGTCAACTATACGTTAACAAGAATCAATGATATTTATCGAGCTTATTAATTTTCAATAATGTTTGTTTCGTGTTTCTCCGAATACAAGACTCCGACGAACAAAGCCACTTGTTATGATGACGTTTTTTAATAATATATTTGTCTCTTTCTTCTCTTAAGCTTTCTATATTCAATATCAGCAATGTACTTGTGTCTGATAAAAGAACACATCAATGTTTGATTAGTAACCGACAATTTGTTCATAGATATTGTTTTGTCTATTAATAAAGTGTGTAACAACGATGCTCTTTATTCACATCAGTTTAATCATGACGATTTGTAAGTGAATCTCGTCTTGCATATATGTTTGTTTCAATACCATCAATAGTTGTATATTGCAGGACATTTTTTTGATGAATGCTTCATCATGGATGAACAAACAAAACATATGACTATTTAACGATCTTTTGCTTTAAATATTACAGTTGCGGATGTGGGTCTCATTGTATGCATAAATCCATTTGCTCAAGAGATTGTTCATCATCTATCCATACGGAACCTTTTTTATTCTACCAAACCATACGGAGTTTCGTAAAGAGGATGTGAAACGGTATTTTGATGCTGGGGATGCACGATGGTCTCGTGTGAAAAGTGCGAAATTCTCTGCTTTTTTCTGAACCTAGAAATGGCTTAGTATGAAAGATACTAAACTAGGGATGTGCAGTTTCGGTGAAAACAGTGAATTACTGACAGTGATGCCACTGCACTGAGCGCACTGACTGCAATGACACATTGACACTGGTGTTCACTGAATCAGTGCATACACTGACACTGATTGCACTGGTTTCACTGTCTGCACCGACATTGGTGTTCACTGAGCCAGTGCATCCACTGACACTGACTGCACCGATGTCAGGATTTACTGGAACAGTGATGCTCACTGAAGTATCAAGTCACCGACTCTATATAAGTATGCACTGCTCGTGATTTTATTTATAATTATCAACGGAATTAGCGAAATGGCCATACCTATTCCTCCAAAAAAGAGGATTCATTTAAGTAATCTATAATTTTGAATAATAAAGTCGATTTCAACGAAATACGCCACTTATAATCCTAATATTGACACATAAGTACCGTATTTTATGACTCAACCAGGTTCATTTAAAGAAGATGAGTGTTTCTTAAAATTGATGTGGACTTTGTAAAACTATTTGTATCGTTACGATTACTTAAATTTTTCGCTTTATTTACTCTTAGTGATGTTGTGCAACCCGAATACACTGAAAAAATGGTTCCATTCGATGAAATTTTTTTGTTAATCCATATATTACAAGCGGAATATGCCGTCGTCTTCTGTGTATAAATTCTAGTCAATGAAAATCAGTATCAGTACGTCAGTGTTCCAGTGTGCGTTAGTGCAACAAGCGCAGTCGGTGTCAGTGTACCGGTGAACGCCAGTGTGACTTTATCGGTGATCAGTATACTGAAACTGCACATCCCTAGTTGTATCCTACCTTGATGTTTTTTGTCTATTATTTATTATTTATAACCAAAAACACAATAACGTTAAGAATATACGATTTCTTACTAAATAGACTAAGTAAACGTAATCCTTGGTATAAACTTGCTCAAAATGTATTGCAATCTGTATTAAAATGTGTTTTTTCAAAACTCTCATAATTTATCTACCATCGATTTTATGCAGGGTTGATATTGTATAGTTTTCTCATCTAAAAGCATTGACGCTATATATGAGGCTTTTCAATAGCTCTACAGAAGAAAAAAGTATTATCCTAGTATTTTTTCTCTTCAAAGTCATTTCGACTTGGAAAACAATGTATCTTCCAAACAATGGCGTTCTACTTTAGCTTTGCTTAAATAGAACTAAATTAACCCTTTCCCTTCAACTAATAAAAACGTACTACTGCTATATCCATACAATCTTCTGTTTGACTTTTTTGTTCAACCATATCGTTATATTTTAAAAAAAAAGTGTTTTTTGAAACAATGAATTTTCTCTAAATAAAAATAATTACTGCATATGACAACCATAGAAAAATCATCTCGTTGAAAACATGTTTTTCTAATACTAACTATGATAAAAACGAACTTGAAGACAAAAAACATTGTGCTTTGCAACACAAGTACAACAAAAGAATGCTTGTCTAGGGGCTGACACCGTATCACGTCATCACTTTTTCTCGATTTTATCTCTCCTTCTTCTTCTTTGTATGGACGACGTGATATACCACAACTATATATGTATTTTCATTCTTTCCCTTTCCTTCTTCTAATATAACTGTCCGTCTATGGTTGAAAAGAACATATTAAGAAAAAATCATTGAACTACTTCCGTCTCGAATTTCATGTGCGTTCAAATGTACAAATTCATCATTAAAGAAGTTCTTTTTCGGAATGAAAGATTTATTTTGATATTAATACACAAAAAATTACAAATTAAAAATGAATTCTAACACACAACCAACAAATAACGGTCATACCAGAGTGTATATTAAGATCAAAAACTAAATCAAGCATTTCGTTTCAAACTTCAAGTTCTGCACCAAGTTCATATCGTCGTCATTTTCATGACTCTTCAAAATTAACAACAGCAAGTCCTATACTGGGTCAAAGAATTTTCAAATCAACTTCAAAAAGAAGCTATTCTGTTCGAATTTCATCGAACTCTTTCAAAATGAACGAATCGATGGTATCATCTCGAGATAATAATAATGATCAGCCAGATGAATCGAGTAATGCAATGGATTATGATCTTACACAAGAAGCAACAACACCAAATTTGGCTACTGATGAGGTTATTACAGATTCAGTTATCGATGATGATATATTAACAGGGGATGAAAATGATCATTTAAATTGTAGCAGTGAAACAGTTGATGAATTAAATCAGACAAAGGGAACAACACACGTAACAAAAAAAGACGTCGTGTAATATTTCACAAAGCTACCTGATAGTGGTTATGAATGCAATTTGTGTACTGGTACTAATAAAGTAAGTTCTTCCCATTTTCGTTGAGTGTTTGTCTCTTTTTTTTACCTTCAAGTTGTCAAAACTACGTTTATTATTAAAAACAACTTTTCAAGATAGCAAACAAGCCATCCTGCAGACGAAAGTGAAGGCAGAAAGAGAAGTCTGTTCGAAAAATTTTACAGTGGAAATTATAGAAAATATTATGCATGACAAAAAAGGACAACATCAGGAAGAATTTTTATATGGAATAATGAATAATCAATGCGTTTCTAATTTAGCTAAACATTAAAGTGAAAGAGTTTACTTATTAGTTTTTTAGTTTTATTTTTTATTTCTTTACTTCAAGTAGTCTAATATTTTATTGTCTATGTATATCAGACATCAACATCAGACACTATACTGTCGTTGTTTACCGACCTATAAGTGTGACAGGAGGCATATTATCATCATGATACGATTGTTGTTTAATATCGAAATGATCCATTTGGAAGAAAAGACCATCACATGATATGTTTATTGTTGTTCCAAATTACGAAAAAAATTAATTTATTTGTTGTACATATAGGTACTATGTGGGTTGTGTATATTATTATTTAGAATTTAAAATTAGATGAATTTCAACAAAGTACTCATATGTACAATACATGCATTTATCTTTTTTAGTAGGTTAGAATAGCAATAAATATATCATATGATAGTCTTTTCCAAATTGATCTCTTTGATATTAAACAACAATCGGATCATGATGATAATATGTCTCTTGTCATACCTATAGGTCAATAAATAACAACATGGTGTCCGACAATGATGTCTGATATATATATATAGACAATGAAATGTTAGATTATTTAAAACAAAGCAATAAAAAATAGAACTAAAAAAAATAATAAGTAAATTCTTTCATTTTAATCTTCAGCTGCATTAGAGACTCATTGAAAAATAACAATGTTGACTTTCCTATTGTTTTTTTTTCTAATAAGAAAAACTATACAAAGTAGCTAAACGCATTTCAAGAGACCCCATGCTATTTAGGTCGATCATAATTTCAACAAATTGAACCAGATAATATAGATTCTGAAATATTGTATCATATTAATTGCGTCAAAGATCAAAGAAATCTTATTGTGGGACCTGTTTGTAATGTCTTGTATATATGAAAAACTTGTACCTAATTCGTCATCATGCACACCATAGAGAGAAGCAATTGATGTTCAATATAATACAAAGATCGAAGTTTCAGTACAAGCTGCATTGAAGCTTGGTCATGATTCACTACAAATATTTTGCTATTTAAACAAAATATGGACCAAATTTTTCCAGTAATTGTTATAAGTTTTGATAGATTTTTCTTCATATGACGATAAGAGTTCCTAAGTGTTTGTATCTACAAAAGTGTCTAGAAATGTTTCATAAGAAAAGAACATGATTAGATAATTTATAATATAGGTTGTAAAAAGATTTTTTTAAATAATTAAATAGCAAATGTTTTGTTTCATTATTCTTTATGTTTAGATATTTTCCAATACAAATGAAAATTCAGACACCAATTTAAGAAGTCATTTAGGAAAAACACACCGAATGATTGATTTTTTATATCCTTCTCAAAAAGATCAACAGCAACCAAAATTATTGAAAAAACTGTCTGCTGAAGAAAAAAAAATACTTAATGCTGCTGCAATTGAAGCTATTGTAAAAGATGCACTTCCATTTAATCACTTCAGTAAAACCGGTATGCTTAGATTTTTATCTATTATTAAACCTGGCTATCGAGGGCCTCATCGAAAGACTGTTCGAAAACACCTTGTACGTTTATATCAACAGCAACAACAATTGATAAAACAAGAATTATCTTCTATATCACATATCAGTCTTACAGCCGACGTCTGGAAAAGTCCTGCACAACAATACTTTATCTGTTTAACTTGTCATTTTTTTGTCTTCATTGTTGGAAAATCGTTCAATTGCTTTATCATTTCAACGATTTCCTGATAAACATTCTGGTAAAAAATTTCGATCGTTTATTAACCCTTTCGTTACGGGGCCCGTATATATACGGGCTGAGCTTTCACTTGAATTACTTCTGTGACGTATATGATTTTCCTACTTTACTACAGTTCTGTAAGAGCATGATTTTTTATTCTCTATCTTATCCGATGTCTTTTTTTGTATACTTGTCCTAGCTAACCTTACAGGAATNTTTATTTATAATTATCAACGGAATTAGCGAAATGGCCATACCTATTCCTCCAAAAAAGAGGATTCATTTAAGTAATCTATAATTTTGAATAATAAAGTCTATTTCAACGAAATACGCCACTTATAATCCTAATATTGACACATAAGTACTGTATTTTATGACTCAACCAGATTCATTTAACGAAGATGAGTGTTTCTTAAAACTTATGTGGACTTTGTAAAACTATTTGTATCGTTACGGTTACTTAAATTTTTCGCTTTATTTACTCTTAGTGATGTTGTGCAACCCGAATACACTGAAAAAATGGTACCATTCGATGAAAATTTTTTGTTAATCCATATATTACAAGCGGAATATGTCGTCGTCTTCTGTGTATAAATTCTAGTCAATGAAAATCAGTATCAGTACGTCAGTGTTCCAGTATGTGTTAGTGCAACAAGCGCAGTCGGTGTCAGTGTATGCACTGGCTCAGTGAACACCAATGTCGGTGCAGACAGTGAAACCAGTGCAGTCAGTATCAGTGAATGCACTGGTTCAGTGAACACCATGTCGGTGCAGACAATGCAACCGAAACAGTCAGTGTCAGTGTATGCACTGATTCAGTGAACACCACGTCGGTGCAGACACTGCAACCGAAGTAGGCAGTGTCAGTGTCATCAGTGTACCGGTGAACGCCAGTGTGACTTTATCGGTGATCAGTATACTAAAACTGCACATCCCTATATTAAACCCGTCGAATTTTTTTGAACCAAAAAAGGTTCAGTAATAAACCGTTCTTTTAGAGTGTAGTAAACGGTTCCAGAAACTGGAGTGCCTTCATCACGAACCGCGGTGTCGAGTACCGCAGTAACTGCCCGTTTCGAATACCGTGGTGCTTAATGGTTTTATAAACAGCAAAGAACTTTGATTATTCTATCTGACGAAATGTTAGTAATGTCGTGGTCCGCTTCTGAATAACTATTTCTCTATGCATTCCGATTTGTGATAGATTGTGGGTAGTGTATTAGAATACAAAAGGATTATACCCAGGGAAAAATTTTTCCAGAAAAACTGCTGAAAGTTGCATTTTTCTTCATTCCACAGCTATCTTACTCGAAGGAACCGAGATTTCGCTTTTACAACCGTCGTACATCGTGTTTTTTTACACCGTAGTTTGTGAGAACTACGGCATGCTTACTGACAACCGCGGTTCGTTTAGTGTATATTCAAGTGTGATAGAATGTGTAAGGACAGAGAGGATGTTGTGCCCACATGTTTTGAGAAATTTTAAATAAATTTTCTTATTCTCTCCTTCACTAGAAAGCAACTTTGTAGTAATGAAACTTGGAAAGTTCACTACATCGCTCCTGGAAGTGCAGCTCACTTGAACTTTGAGAAAAGCTCAGATGAGTCTAGTCATACTGAACCATGACTTCTGACTCAGAGAAAACGTGGTTTGTCGCGGTTTTTGTTAAAAAAATTTTCCGTGGTATAGGTGGTCTAAAAGTTCATTTATCGCAAAAAAATTCAATATCTCTGCCATAGTTTGATCAACGGTGCTCAGTTTTTTTACTGATGATAGAGAATCGTTCATAACTCAGAATGATAAGAGAAACGTTGATAAAGGTTGTGTTGAAGTGTTACACTTGCTACAAATAAACAAAATGAAATCATTTACGAATTATGAGAAAGCAATATTCATGTCGTCACTAATAGGTTAAATTCGACATTTTAATCAATCTTCCACTAATTTGATTGGTGAAGATCCTTGCTACAGAAAAACTCATCAAAATAACAGAAAAGAAATAATCGAAAAATTAGTTCACCGATGATTATGATTTGAGTTACAAAGTACATCAATGAATCTATGAATGTGAAGAATGATTGTCGTGATCTCATGTTTAGTCATCCGCTTAGAGAGTATCTAAAGCACTTCTCAGAATTGACGTTCATTCTACGTTCTGATCTGAAGAATGTGTTGACTAGAAAAGATTTTCTCCCATTCATTTTAAACATTGGGTTAAAAAAGTTGACTTCACAAGGACTTTGGTTTAATATCTTTGAAAAATTTCCGTGTAGATGAAGAATAAAATATTGCGATATCCTATGCAACTTCTAATAATTTTAATCTTGAGAAGTTTTGTTAAATGAAAGGATATATTTCAACGTGTAATTTTGATAAGATATTGAAGTTTTTTTGAGTATATCGACAGCAAAAACATGATACTTTCAAAATTGATGAAATTAATACGACGAGCTACTGGATAACTGAAATTTCCATCCACGAAATTAATTAAACAGTTGTTTTGAATAGTTTATTTGAATTTTTTAGTTTGAACTATTATGAACATCATTTTTCCATTGCTGACTATAAAATGCTAGATTTTGTTGTTCAGTTTTAGAAAGATTTTGATTTGTTTTGAGAATAAATAACAATATCGGATATTTTCAAGCGCTCACATTTAGCGACATCTTGAAAATAAAATATTAGTTGTACTATTTGATATTCTACTCCTCGTATGTGTAATAATATAAATCTCAAAAAATAATTTTGATGTCAATAAGTCTTTATAAAATATTTGTTTCTTTTATACTGAATAAGTATGTATAGTAGATGTCAGTTAAAGTAAAACAAAATATTTTTGTTGTTCGCACCTTGTATAACATCAATCATTAGACTTTCTTTTTCTTTTTCTGATTATGTTCTATCAGAAAGAAAAAAGTCGTTTGATCGTCTATATTTATTTTGTGTTGCAAATAAAAATTGAAAGTGTACCCTTTTTTTTTTTTTCTTTTTTTTATAGATACTTTTCATCAGTATTATTTTAATATTATAAAATCGAATGAATCCATCAATGGAACCACAAGCATTTGGTGCTGGTCGAGCTGGATCTACATTTGATCTGATTGAATTTATAAAAAGACCTCAGGTTATTTTACGACTTGTTTCTTGGGTATGTGATGAATAATTCTTAAATACATATTATTCGAAAAAATTTTATTTTCTATAGGTTTTTGCTATTATTGTCTTTGCATGTATTGCTCAAGAAGGTTATACGAATAATACATGTCGTTATAATGGTTCAAATGCTTGTGGATATGGTATTGCAATTGGTGTTATAGCATTTCTTTTGGCAATGCTTTTTATGGGACTTGATATCTATTTTCCAAATATATCAAATATTACAAAACGTAAAGGTATCGTTTTGGCAGAATTAATTATATCTGGTAAGAACAATTGTGAATTCTTTTTTTCTTCTGTTCATCAAAATCATACTTTATTTTAGGTATTTTGGTTTTCTTATGGTTTGTTGGATTCTGCTATCTGGCTGATCAATGGCGAAACGAAGTAGACAAAGATCAAGTTGGATGGAATGGTCGTAATAATGTTCAAGCAGCTATTGCTTTTGCTTTTTTTTCAATTATCTCTTGGGTATAAAATATTGATTTGAATTTGATAATATTTATTGAAGGATTTTTTTCTTTTTGTTTAGGGTGCATTGATATTTTTTACATTTCGTCGTTATCGTGCAGGTGTTTCAAATTTGTTTAGTTCAAGTTATGAAGATCATTCAGCAGGTACCGGACAAACATATAGTGGATATCCACCAGCTGGTAATACAGGTAGTTTTTCTCAACCACCATTTACGGCAACACAACAAGCTCAATCAAATTATCAACCACCAGCATATTGAATGATGCTTTTATCAATGATATACAAAATGAATGATTTTTCTTTTTTTTCGTGTCTTATTTACACTATACTACCTATTTTCTATTGTTTTGTTTCGTGAATCTCCTATTGAATGCTCACAAACCCTTTTCTTTTTTTTTTTGTTGTGATGGGACCAAAAACAAAACAGTGACAATATTTTACTCTTTTTTTCTTTCTTTCAGGATCGACTTTTGTTTAATTCATTTATTTTTCTCTGTATTAAATATGATCTGTTCTTGTAAACTATTGAATGAATCAAAAATGAAATGATACTCGTTGAATTTCAGATGACGAAAATATCATTAACACTCTGCACTAGTCAGATGAGTGTTTGAATGAACAAAAAAAAATGAAAGATACTTTAAACAATGATCATTTCATGTTGTTTCTTTTTTTTTTGTTGTTTTGTCTTACTATTATTGTATGTATAACTTATCAATAAGTTTTGTGTCTTGTTGTATTTTATTTCTGAACAAAATACAAAAAAAAAAAAACTTCCTATCATTCCCTTATGCATTTTTTTGTTTGCTGTTGTGGGGGGGTATCTTTTTTTTGCTTTTTATTTGCCATTTGATTATATCTAGGTGTCGTTTATTTGTCATGCATTTTAAATAAAAGTATATAGATTTGAAAACGATGTACAAAAAGAAAAAAAAGATTTTGATTGATTTATATTCGGTTCTTTTTTTCTGTTAGATAATAAGAATAATTTTTCTTTGCATTATTGCTCAAGCTTGAAGAGCAAGGACAAATAAGAACAAGATATGCATACATATAGTTACTTTTTTCTTCTTCTGCTATTTTTACAACTCTTAATAATCATACGATATCATTGTTCGAGTTCGGTGATGAAAAAAAAACATCTTGCCGAGAAAAAATGCAAGAAATTTTTCTTTTTCTTTTTCTTCTTCCGGGCGGAATGAATACTATATGAAGCAAATACGTAAATAAATTCACTAACTACTAGTGACCTCTTCATAGAAAAACTAATTGGTTTAGAAATTGATAATGATTCACACAGCTTTTAAATCGATTGAATTTGAAATTTTTCCAATTTAACTCGAGTATTTTCCTTCTTAATTAATTTTCTTTGAATGGCTTTCTCCTCCTCTTCATCATTATCAATTAGTGTAATTAAACCAATTAGAAAAAGACGTTTAAATTTTCCAAATGATCATATAATGGTTCTTATTAAAGAATGGTACAATGATGCAAAAGCAAATGGTACTCAAACAATTCATTGTTATAGAAAAGTACTTGACTTAATGAAAGCAAACATGATTTCATAATTCAATGAAAATTTTCTATTTTATAGGCATTAAGTTCATTAGAAAAATATCCTCTTCGATTAGAAACAGGTGCTGATTGTCGAATTTTACATGGATTTGGTGAAAAAACATGTGAAATGATTGATCAAAACTTAAATATTAATAAAAAATCAATAACACCAACAAAACCAATATATAAAACAGTATCAATGTCAAATTTTGATGATAAAAAAAAACCTAATACAATTATTAATCTTAGTGATAATGATGAAGATAAAACTGCTTCACCACCAGCAAAACAAGCAAAACTAAATAATAAAACGAAAAAAATAAAGAAAACATGTAGTGCTGGACCACAATTATTTAATAATCCGAAAAATACTACAATACAATCAACAACTATTTCAACACTTCTTGGTATTGTTGATTCACCGGTAAAAACGAATTTAATTCAACCAAAACCTGTACAAACATTAAAAGCTGGTTCATTTCATATAACTCTTTGTATTGATAATGCTGAAGCATCAAGACCAGCACAAAAAATTCTTCTGGAAAATTTAACAAAAAATTCGATTAATTTTGATGTACGAAAATTAAATATTGGTGATTTTCTTTGGACAGTTCGATGTAAACTATTCATATGAAATATTTTTCTTTTATTTATTTATGTATTTTATAGCTAATGATCCAGATATTAAAGTTGAAGCTATTCTCGACTATATTATTGAACGTAAACGATTAGATGATTTATCAAAGAGTATTATTGATGGAAGATATAATGAACAAAAAGTAAATTAAGATTCATTAAAAAAGAAGAAATTGAATAAATCTAATTTTGATGTTTTAGTTTCGTCTTAAGCAATGTGGTATTACGAATTTGATTTATTTAGTAGAAAGTATAAAGAATACAAATGCTCCTGGAATATTAACGCCAGCTGCACTTAATCAAGCAATTGTAAATACTCAGGTAGAAGATTTTACTTTAAAATATTGTTGTCTTAAGACTCTTTTGAAACTTAATATTTTTTATTTTCAGGTTGCTGAAGATTTTTTTGTGCGCGAAGTTTCTAATCCAGTTGAAATGGTCAATTATTTAGTAACAATGACAAAACATCTAATTGGACATTTTAAAGTAAATGTTTCTTTTTTATTAATAATTTCAATAAAGTTTCTTTTTTTTTTTTACATATCTATAGGATAAAACATTACATATATTAAATGATACTGATATGAGTAATAATTATAAAACATCTTATAATGATTCTGATCATTATGTTATGACGTTCGATTCATTCAATTCCGGTACTATTAAAAGCAAAGTTTGTATCATAGATGTTCTTTTAAATACTTGACAAATAAAAATTTTGTTGTAGCCGCCAATAGTAAAAGAAATGTTTGCTCGTGCTCTTATGCAAATAGCCGGCATGTCAGTGGATAATGTTTTAGCATTGACTGAAGTTTATCCAACACCAGCAAAGTAAAACAAAGAAACTTAAAAGTTTTTGTTTTTCTTATTTTAAATATAAATTTTACTATAGACTTCTTGAAGCATACAATCAATGTTCAAATGAAAAAGAACGTAAACTTATGTTATCATCAATTAAAAAAATTACAACTAATCGGTAAGACAATAAAACTGAAACCATAATCATGACTATCTTTTTCTTTTTATACATTTTATTAGAAAATTGGGCAAAGTTTTGAGTACAGCTATTGAAATGCTCTTCAACAATCTTTCTTATCAATAAAATATTCATATATAGTATGCATATATACGACCAAGTCAGATCAAACACTTAGTTTTCTTCTTTTTTTCTCTTTAATAAATTCAAAAGAAGAAGACAAAAAGATCTGTACATGATGAAATGAATATAATTTATGTTTTAGATTATATGCAAGAAGCGAATCGTAATACAGATTTAATATTAGAAGCAGAAAAAAGATTAAAAGATGCTGAATTACGTGGTATTCAAACATTAGATGTTATCAGTAAATAAAATTAAAAATTAAAAAACAAACCGAAAAAAAGTTTTCTTTTCATTTAGCTGATTCATCATCAACAATATCAACAATAACAGATAGATATATTCTTAATGAACATTTAATCCACACATCACGTGATCTTATTAATCAATATGAACGAAAAGCTAAATTTGAAAAATTAATTATAATGACTTTGCTTATTATTTTTTTTGCGGTTGCACTTAATATTGTTAAAAAGAGATTACTTTGGTAACAATGAAGATTAACCTTGCTTCTTATTGATATAAAAAAGAAGGAAACGTTAAACAAATAAATTATTACATTTCGTTTTGTGTTTTTTTAGCACTCTCTTGATACTTCCTATTATTTCTTTTGTTGCTACTATCACTATGCACTGTATTGCGTATTATACGAAAGAAGAAGCAAAAAAAAGGAAAGTATATAGTATTATTTTTTCATCAGTCTAAACTTATGTGTGAGTGTGATTATAAGAAAGAAAACGACGAAATGAATCTTTCATTTTCATTCTCACTTTCTGTCTGAGTCGAGTGACTCTCGAAAGTCATAGAGAAAAAAAGAAAGAGAAAGAAGTGTGCATGAACTGGTATTGTCTAATTTATATGTCTACCGTTTTTTTTGTTCTTTCTCCTTTTTTCTCTTCAGATGGCAGACGACGATGTAGAAGATACATCTCCATCAGCATCTCAACCATTTTTTATTCGTGGTGGAAGTCAGTTATTTGTACATAATTATTTATTTTTTTAAAATTTTATTGTTTTATCATTATAGTTCCTTTTGTTTTTCTTCCAACAACATTTACAACAGGTTTCACTGGTGAAAATAACCATACACGTGTTTCTACGGTCGATGAACAAACAAAAACTGAATCTAAAACGAAAAAAGTGAATGACGAGAACAGTGAAGAAATAAAAGTCGACGAAAAAGGAGTAGGTATGTACAAATACAAATGAAAAAAAAAAACTTATTGTAATTGAATGGTTGTTCGACATCCAAGCAACAACAATATTTGTTTTCATCTTAGCAAGCCTGGAATGAAAACGAAAAAATCAAGCATAAAAAAAGAAAGTTCTTATTTCGTTTTTTTTTTTTTCTTTTTTAGAAACAGTGGAGAATGATGAAACAGACCGCAATAATGAGAATGACGATAGTACAGATGAAAAAAGTGATCTTCGTATTAGTCAACCCGAATATAGTCAATTATTAAAAGGACTTGATTTTAGTCACGCAAGAATGGTAAACTCAAAACGATCTTTATTTTTTGTTGTATTTACTATTTCTTATCTTTTTCTTTTTGTCATATTAAGGTTGATGTAACAAATCTTTTACCTGATGAACTTGATCAACAAGCAAATAGTTTATCTACAAATGAAAATGAAAAACCCAAAAAAATCTTAACTAATGTAAAATATCAAAGTTCATTATCAGCTGATTCATCAGTATCAAGTGATGAATTATTAAATAGTCAAGCAAAAGAAAATGCTAATTTTAAAAATGCTACTAATGATATACAAAATGATTTAAATAATTTAGCTGCAATTATCCAAGCATCATCACAATTATCAGCTGGTAATAAAGAAGAAGAAGAAGAAGAAAATAATAATAATCTGCAAAAACGACATACTTTTGATGAAGATGATGACACAAGTAAACAAGCAACACAAAATTATGATCTGAACGATTTTGAACAAGAGGTTTGAAACTTTCTTTTTCTTGTTTTTTGTTTTTCTTTTTCATGCATATTTACAAAATCAACAACGAAATATGTAAACCAATATTTTTTTAAACGTCTAAATCATCTAAAGAATATTTATTATGAATTCAAAAACATACACGAACAATTTTTAGTTACTTAAAACAAATTTAACGCTTTATTTTTATTTAATAGGACATAGTACCATCATCAAGATCGAACAAAATTCCTCGTTTAATTAATCAACAACATTCAAATGATATTCAAAATGAAAATAAATCATCCATGTCATATGTAGATATGAATACAAATATTCATACTGATAATCAACATCAAACAAAAGAACAAGAAGCATTTATCGATTGGGATAATTTAGTTTATGGAGCCGATCCAGTTATACAACCATCAAATGAATTAATTTTTCCTCAACCAATTGTTGATTCACATTCAACACCTAAAAGGCCACAAGAACAAAATCCATTAGAATCTTCACAAGAAAAACCTAAACAACGATTAAATTTATCAACACAACAAAAAAATCATCATCGAAGTCGTCAAATAACATCATCGTCATCATCTTCATCATCAGATACAGATTCTGTTATTCAATATGCATTACATCGTCCAAAACAAAAACAACCATCACCACCACCATCACAACAACAACAACAACAAAAAACAACCGCACCAATATTTCCACCAAAAACATTAAGACAAGATAGTCAAGCAACATTAATTGATGAAAATCTTGATGATTTAAGTAGTCAATTAAAACAAGTTCTAATTGATCAAGAACGACAAACATTGAATACAAGTACAAAAGAAGAACGAACAATAGATGGAATCGGTTCAATGTCATTACCATTATCAACACCAGATATACTTTCAACTAATTTAGTTGATAATGATATATCAAATCGAATAAATGATAATTTAGTTCGACATTTATCAAATCAACAAATAAATTATAATCAACAAGGTGATCGACATTCATTTGACATTCCTGAACGTTCGAGTCCACAAAGAAAAAAAACTCAATATCATCAAAAGCATGTAACATCACGTCATTTTGAACGTAAAGATGGAAGTGGTTCACGAAAACCAGACGTAAATTTTGATATTTTAGACATATTATTAAATTCTTGTTTTCTTTTTTTATATATTTAAAAATAGGATAATTGGTTAACTATGCTTGATAGACTTGAACGTGAACATAAAACACGTTTAGAAAAACAACAACAACAATATGAAAGTTCCATGCATAATCTAGAAGAAAAAATGAAACGTCGTTTTGATGATTATCTTACATTAACAAATGGGTAAAAGAACAAAAAACAAATATTTTTGTTTCTTAGTTTTAAAGAAAAATAATTTCTTTTATCTTATATTTAATATAGTTTTCAAGAATCAAGATTAGATAATCATGATGATGCAATATATGTATATCGTACACCTTCATCAGTACCAATTGATTCAAATATAGGAAAATATAAAGATCATTCACATCATAATCATCATCATCGAACATTAGCTAATGATCTTATTTCTCATTATTATCCAGCCGATTCAACATTGAATATTCTTACATCAGAAAAAAGACGACCTATAAATACAAATAATATACCACGATCACAATCAAGAGAAGATATTGCAAAGTACGTATATTCTTATGACAGCAAAAAAAAAAAAAAAATATTTAAAAAGAAAAAAGTTGAAAAATTTCACTCAAAAAACATGTCATGCTTTTATTTTTACATTAATATGAAATAAAATCAATATTGACTTGAGAATCAAGGCGTTTTGTATTAATGACACCTTTACCATCAATCTAGATACTTAACATGTACTTCATATTAAAGTCAATAAGTTTCATAATTAAACAAAATCATGTTGATCAATACGATAATATTTTTTTTCATTTCTGTCAATAAAATCCTAAGGTGATAATCTCTTTATGCATTATTCTATGAAATAGAAAAGGTATTCTTTGAATCTTGAGTGATACTATTTATATGAATTATTAATTAAAAATTTCTTTTAATAGAAAATTGATTGTACAAGTATCGAAACAAGAAAAAAATACTGCATATTTACATTATAGTAGTGAAATTTTCTTTTTTCTTTTTGCTTTCTTTCAATTTATTTTCTTCTTTATTTCTCCTTTTTTTCTCTCCTCTGTGTAACTAATACATTCCTTCTAATTGAATTCCATATGGTTGTTGTTGTTTTTTGTTTTAGTCTCCGAACAGAACTCTCTGCTTTACATGCAAAACATATAGCTGATTTAAAACTATATTATGAATATGAAATAAATGAACTTAAAAGTCAATTAAATCGAACAAGAATGGGGTTGAAATGATTTTGACTTTTTTTTTAAAATTTTTAATAGCTTTTGTTTTTAATATTAGTCAAACATCAAGTAGTACTCGTCAATCAATGGATGCCATCGGACGAATAAATAATGAAAATATTCGTTTAAATGATGAAATTAATGAATTACGTCATTCATTAGTTAGTGTATCGAAGAATAAAAAAAAGAAATTTTTTTTTCTTTTTTTTGTTTTTTAGAAAACGACAGAAGACGAAAATATTTTACTTAAAAAACAAGTAGAAGAATTACGTGAACAAATTAGTAATAAAGATCTTGATCTTAAAAATTATCATCGTACAATAATAGATCTTGAAAAACAATTAAGTGAAGCTGAAAACGTGCGTACTTATTTAATAAAAAAAAATGATTTTTTTTTGTCTTATCTATTCAAATGGATAGTCTAGTTATAAATGAGTTTTTCGTTAATATTCCTAGACAAAAGAGCGACAAGATGAAAAATTTCGCCATGCAGACAGGCAGGCATTACTTTATCGGGAAGAAAACGAAAAGATCAAGACCGATCTTAATCTTACAAGGGTAAATAAATAATTTTTATTTCTTCTTTTTTTTTCAGTTTCTTCATTGGCCCGAGTGGGTGAGACGATCTCTATTAATTTTTGGGGAATTTTTTTTCGATACTTAGTATATAAATAATTTTCTTCTTCTTTTAATTTATTTTTTCGTACTGCTATTAACGTTCAATTAATAATTTAGTTTTTCAACAAATAATAATTCGTGTTTTTTGATATTTTTGTTTAGGAGCGTCTTCTTCGACTTGAAGAACGTTATAATGAACAAGAAAATGAAAATGAAATTCTACGACGACAAATATTTATGTTAGAAAATGATAGTAATCGAATAAGTAATCGGTATGAAGAGAATTTTTATTTGATAAATACATTTTTGATTTTTGATTTCTGTTTGTTTATAGAATAACTGATGATCTTAAATTCAGTTCGACAATGACTTTAAATCAGACAACATCAGCAGAATACGGACGTTTTGCATTAGCAACCACAAGACATACGTCACCGACATTGAATACATCAAGAAACACAAATATTGATTCTCGAAGATATCAATCAAATGGTAAAAATTAAGGGAACTTCCGCTTTCGTGACCCAAAATTTTTGTTTCTTTGCGATCGTTCTATAGTCTGAAGTAATATTTATCAGGGCTACGCGTGGGATGGGGCAATCCCACTCTATCAGTCCCCCATGTCTTGAAACTCTTTCGAAGAACATCTCATATGACAGGATGGGACGGAAAGTTTTCAGAATCATTCCAGTCCATTAGAGGAAAAATATTTGAGAAATATTCTATCCCATTTCATATGGGGTGCAATAAATATCCCTTGGGATTCTATAGAACAAACGTATTTCACAAAAATCATTTTTTTTTATTAAAAACAACCTAGTCGTTTCGAAATAGATGTCTTTCTCATCGAAATGTGAACTTGTTTCTGATAAAGTTATGAAATACAAAATGAAATTATGTAAAATTTAGTAGTAGTAATGGAAACGATAGATGTGTTCAGGCATTTTTTTTTATTGTTTGGGGAACGTGAAGTTCCATTTCGTACGGAGACATAGTATCTTGCGTCTATAAAAAAAAGTTTTCAGTTCGATTGAACATAACACCTCAAGGAAATGGGAACCATTTATCGCCATTGGAATCTCCGTATTTCATAGAAGATAGCATCTTGGATGATAACTTTTGTTCTACTCGTCAAGATTCATCTCTCTTGCAAAGTTTTTATATTTTTCTGATGAGCGTCTATACTTCAAAAATCCTGGAAAGTGAAAATACTCTTAAGAGTTCCTATTCTATTGGAGTAGTTTTTTTTTTTTATTTCTTTTTTAGATGTTGAGAATTCATTACGTCATACTCATTCACCAAGACCAATGACAAGAATTAGTGATTATCTAAATGAAAAGCCTACTTTTCCTCCACCATATGTACCTCCATCAAGTAAAATAATACAAAAAAGAAATGATTTTGTTGTTCTAATAATTATTTATAGGACATTCCTATTCGCCAAAAAAACCTTCACCTAATCGTCGTCGTGTTGAACCCATGTCAAATAGAGTAAATGTTGTTGTATTTTTAATTATAAAAATAAATGTATATATTTCGAAAATTCTTTTTAGACATCAATTGATAGACAAACGAGACAAAGTGAACAATTAGAACAAAAATTTGATCAATTATTAAGAAAAAAACGTGAATTGGAAACTCGTCTTAATCGTATACCAATAAGAGGTTTAACTAATATTGATCGACAATTATGCGATGTACTTGAACGAGAAATTGAACGTGTTGAACAACAAATATCAAGTGTTAAACTTGAACTTCGAAAATTAAATGTTTTACGAACGCACTAGATCTACTAACATTCTCGATTATGCCACTTCATTTCGGTGTCAATTTTTGGATCTGTTTTGAAACAAACTTTTTTTCTTTTAAGCTGCCGTCCAATTGTTTCTTTTTTTCCACTTTTTTAAAGCTATGTAGACGTACATTTTTTTTTTGAAATGAAATAGTGAATTCTTATGTGTTTGTTTGTTTGTTTGTTTTTTTTTGATAAATATACATTAGTAATCCATTTTTATATTTCAACAGTGGATAATACATTGTTCATTGAATTATTTGTTTTTGTATCCAGATAGAACAGATGGCAACAACTACAACAATAATGGGAATACCTGAATTGTATCATTTAGATAATCATTTTTTTCGACCACAAGAAAAAAAACAAATACAAAATGCATTTGAAAATTTTATGATGAATATCAAATATAATTCATTCGATTATGATCATAGTGTAGATAATGAAGATAATAGTCAAATATTATTACAATCAAAAATTCAATTATTTCAATTATTTATTCGTACACAACCAGTTAATATTCGTAGTTTTAGGTATAATATAATATCATAGTTCTAGATATAATTCTTTATAGTTTTATTTTTAGTGTATTTCATCAACAATATCAACATGTTTTTATTGAACGTTTATTTTATCTTGTTTTAAATAATGTTGAATTAATACATTTTTCAACATATAATGTTAATTCAATAATAAATATAAGTAAAGAATTAGAAAAATATCAACGTTCAACAAATAAAATTATATTAAATACAAATAAACTTAATACAGTTGTACAATTTGTTTTATCATTTTCATCATCAACTATATCATCATTTCAATTAAATAATCTTTTTTATTTATTATTACATGATATGAATGATTTTTCTGGAAAACTTATTGATCGTATGGCTGAATTATTACGTATATATCATTCAATGACATATGGACATATAATTACGAAACAACATTTAATTACAACGGTAAAAGAATTATATATAAGAAAAATATCAACAGTGGTAGATTCATGCATTAGATATTGAATATTACAATAGTGGATAAAAGTCTCGCGCCTCTCATATCTCGGCTACTATACGTATCGGAGGTTAGAAAATTTGTATGCATATATTGCATTAAGAATTTAGATGAGATCGTCCCAATTACTTAAATACGGAGACAATTATAATGAAGGGTGCTTATATTTCCTTCAAGCTTTTTTAACTTGAAAAAGATTGTCTATTAAATTTTTCATTACCTATTATTTAGTACATGACTAATTCATGATACTTTAGCATGCAAGTAGAGCCGAGCCTATGATCTTTTTTTTAGTTCAAAGATTAGGCAATTAAATTGAAGATTGCTGTCTTTGCATGTATTGAAGTCCTCCATATCAGCATGACCATTATTTAGATGGCATTTTCATTTTGTTGAAAATTCTTTCATGAAACTTTAACTACAGACAACGCTTATGTACAAGTTTCACTCCGATTCACTGAACTAATACTGAGTTATAGTCTTCAAAGGCTAGCAGATAGTTTTTTCCTACCCGAGTTATCATGAAAAAATGGCTACAATTTTATGAAAGGGTTGACGAACTTCAATTAAATTAATAAGATAAATAAACGAAACATCTCTAAATAATGAAGAATGAATCGACCCACCATGTTCTTCTTTTTCAGAATTATGAAGTTAAAAGGATAAATAGGTGGGATGCATTACTATCTATCATAATTCTCATTCTATTGAAACAATCGAGTTAAGTTTGTGTCTGAGACTTACATTTTTAGTAGAGTATGTGAATACAAATTTCCCGACCTCCAGCATGTATTGTAGTCGAAGTACGGGAGATATAAAACTTTTGTTCACTACTGTATTATGAAAAGCCTACAAGATATTCTATATTTTATTATGTTATTTATTAAAAAAGACTTTTCAGAAAAAGTCTTACAGTTTTTGTTGGAATAAAGTTTTATTTTTTTCTAATGAGACTAAAATAATTTTACATTCAATATAATTTATATAATAATCTGTTGCCTATTTCAGTTGTTTTGGCCGGATTCGTAAAGATCTCTGTCTCGACAGAACGCAATTTTTGCATATCGATATTGAACTTTGAATTATGTTTAGTTTGTTCTCTATGTCGAATTTTTTTAAAAATTTCATGGTTAATGAAACTGTAAACAAGAAAACAATAGCAAAAATGTACGCTTATGGACACGAGAAGAATTCATTAGATTTATTACGAGAACTGAATAAAAAACATTTGTTAAAAGTCAAGATAAAATTAACTTAATTGTTATAGCTAATAGCTATAAAGGAGAATACCTAGAAATTAAATCTCATAAAACTTACCTAGAATTTAAATCAATGTTCTTTGTTCAATATATCTAGTTAATCGCATACTTAAAAAAACGAATTAATCCAAAATTATCGCTTTATCAATTTTTCTAAGATTTAATATAGCTTGCCTAAATAAAAAATACTATTATATATTATACAAAAACCAGGTTAATTGTTTTTCATTAATTTAGATTGAAAATGTCATACGAACTGTGAATTTTGCTAATCCTCTTGTTTATCCATTATATGAAAATTTTCTTAATTCATCATATGTCTACAAAAGTCCACTTATATTATCATTATCGAAAAAAATTACAACTATTTCTTTGTATACAATAATTCAAAATCTATCAATAACACTTTTGGGTATAACACTTGATGATTTTGAATATGAAGATAAATATTTATCATTTACATCTGAACAATGTTATCATATACGTTTAATAATACGACATTTAACTTATTTATTTAAACAAAATGATTATACAATAGAATATCCATTAAATAATCTAGATAAACAAATAATTGTTCAATTAATGAATTTAATTATATTGAATAAAAAAACTTATGATATATTAAAATCTTTACTTAATTTATATATAAAATATGTTCATGGATTTTCCGAAATGAAAATTAAACAACTTCTATATGATTTATTAATAAATTTTTCATTTGAATTATATTCAATTGAAACAATAAGATATTTTATTGAATTAAATCGTTTACAATCGAAATTAAATTTATTTGAAAAGAAACATTTTCACGATGATTTATGGCTTAATATTGAACAAACTCGACTTATTACACATAAATTATATTCAAATAATATCTATGATGAAATATTTATACCATTCATTAATAATGATTGTCATAAGGAACGTTCTATAAATGATATATTAACATATTTAGATAATAGAATTGAATGTGAACAAGAACAAGTTATTGATATGCAAGATATGAAAGCAAAATTATCAATATAACGATGAATCTTTCATTATTACAGTAGTTTTTCTTCTTCGTTTTCGATAGACATAAACAAGCTCAGGGTTTTATTCGTTAAATATTCACCGGCATGTAATCATTGGCTTTTTGTTTTCTCTTTTCTTTCGTTCAAAATGCAATATGAACATGTATTTATGTTTTGACTTATATATTCAACATGATGAAAATAAAATGTTGAATGATTGAATAAAAAAATCTTTCAAATGAAATTTTTATTCTTTGTTTTTTTTATAAAACGTTCACAAATGTCAAAGAAACTATATATTGTCAAATAGCTTGAACCCATATTGAGCCTATCAGAAAACCTTGGTAAGACTAAAAAAAGTTTAAAAGGTTTCGTGCCTATAGGTCTGTAAAGTCGAGTTAGAACTACAGTCTGTCAGGTCGAACGTTTCCTGACCCAGATCCGATCGAATCGTAGTTTGATACTTTCAATGAAATTTTCTAATCGGAAAAGAATAGACGTCTCGAAGATAAAAGATTCTTTTTACCTACATCGTTGTATTCGGTAATTAGTGCACTACATATTTCTCATACGAGTCATCTGAGAAATTTTATAGTGTAGAATCCATCATATCTGGATCCGGGACCAACCTGACGAGCACTTGTTAATGGCTGTTTTATTAAATTCTTAACCTATTTTTAGATATTTACTGGAAAATCAAATAACAGCATGTCAACTTGTGATTGTGTCCATAAATAGGCCTATTGAGTCTTGGAGTATCCTGAACATTTCAGCTGAAAAGAATGTTCTTTTATCGAGATATTGAATTTTCATGTAAGCTTGTTTTTTTTTCTAACATGTCTATGGCAAGGGATTAGTTTTTGGAAATTCAATATCTTGATAAATGAATATTCTTCTTAACTAAGACTTTCAGAATATGACAAGAATCATTAGATCTATCTACATGTTAAATTTCAGGTCGAAATTTCACTGTTTAATTTTCCAGGAAATATCTAAAAATAGATCGAAAATTCAATTAAACTTTCATCACTGGATTCTAGAGCCTCATGAGCACGAACTCTAAAGGATTTTCTTAATCTTATCAAGACTCCTTGTAGGTCCAATATGAATTCAAACGACGGATTACAGTTGAGATAGTTCCATCGTGTTTGAAAGACTTTATCCGATTGTACAGCAAATAATTTTCTGTGTGATAAGAAGTCAATAAGATCCGTACGATGCACAATGTCAATTAAACAGTTTGATTTCGATATCGATTGAAGTTCTTCATTAACCTACAATTACAAGTCAATCATAAGCCGTACAAATTTCATCGAGGCATTGTTTTTGTAGAGAATTTTTTTGCTCCATAAATCTTAAGTTCTTTCTAATACTTATTCACATTATATATAATAAATATATGTGTGAGTGACATATGTCTAGAACAATTCATTGTATGAATTGTTCAATTGTAAGAGATTTTATAATTCTCGACATTTGAATTGTTTTTTCTTTTTTTAATCTTTTATTAATATCTTGGAATAAAAAACAAGAACATAAGAAAAAAATGGTTTCCTTTTAAGTCAGAAAACATATATATATAAATATGTGATATGTGAAATTTTTTAACTAACTAGTCATATTATTCATACATAAAGATTTGAAATTCTCTCACTCGTTTTTATTGAAAACAATAGACAGAAAATGTTTTTGTTTTTCATAGAATATACTTTTCTTTGACTTTGTGTTCTGTATTAACTAATTGATATGTAGAACTTTTTGTCATTTGATAAAAGCCATATGTTTGACCTTTATATAAAAAAGCTTTGTACTTAATTATGAAAAAGAATAATTATTACTTAAATCGTTTAGAATCTTTTTCAATAGAAGAGCTTTTTTGTTTTGACTTAATATGAGGATTATACTTAGTTGACTTAAAATAATAGTAAGTATTAGAGTCTTCATCATACATATATGCTTATTTGCTAAAAAATTCAAGAAAATTATAGACAGTCTGATATGTTATCCGAGGACAAAAAAGATTCAAATATGCATCTTTTTGACTTTTAAACTAAAGCTAGGTAGAAACATAAAAAAATGAAAAACAAACTAGCACAGCATACGTCGTCATACATTATAAACAGAAAGAATAAAAGGTACTAAAAAACCTCCATTAAATAGTTACAGATAAATATTTTCATCGTACATACATTTTTTTTTAACTTTGAACTTAATAATATTTATTTTGCCATTGATTTATAATATCAATATTTTAATGAGCACTAAGATAAATTAGGAGTGTCTGAAGGTCATCAAGATAACAGGGAAGGGGCGGGTATCCCCCGCTAGAGACACTACTAAGATAAATATATATGAATATTTTATATTGATATCAAAGTTATATGTTGTTTTGAAAAGATGACTACAGTTAATTTCTTGCTTTTATTTCTTTACGATAAGCATTAAATAAAATATTCTTTAAAAATAAATAATCACTGGGCAAGTGATGTTTCTAAAATTGTACACAAACTAATTAAATAAATATGTGTAAAAGGCATATATTTCATATTATATTCAAAACGACATATATGAATCCAAAAAAGCTAAGCAAAAAACAAAACAAATACGATTAAATGACAAAAACCATATTTGATGAAAATAGAGAACCTAATTCATGATGAGAATAATGTCTACCGATTACGAACACGAAATTTAAAGGTAAATATTTTTTCATAAATAAAGGTTTATAACCAATCAGTGTGTCTCGAATGATCATGATTAATTTTCTAGGCTTTAATGTCGCATCTCACTGCAATTGTCTCTTTATTTTTTGCTTTTTATTGTCGTTCTTTTTTCACATTTATATTCTTCACTCAACTACTGTTATCTTTTGATAATAAATAATTTGCCACCGATATGTCTTACTTGATCTGCAAACAAATTCTTTTTATTTTTATTTAATATAAAGAACATTAGTTAACCTGAATTTATACTTTTGAAAGAATAATTTTCAAAAACATCTGACAATCATTGGTTATTCTGAAGACACAACTAGTTTGTGTTAAAAATGTTGTCTATTTAATTTGATTTACATATAAGTATTTTTGACAACATATGAGAAAAAAAAGGCAAAGTTCAGAACAAACTTGCTCGGATAAGTAAGAAAAGATCATAACTTTTTTTTCTTTCTTATTTTTTTTTTCTCTTTCTACTTCTTCACCACAAACACAAAAAAGTTTCCGATGTATTTCATCGGCGGCTTCCGTTTCTATGTCGTTTTGTTTTTTTTTTCTGATCTTACCACAAACAACCACCATCACTATCAGTCCGTTTCTACAATAGTGTCAAAGTGCGCAGACAACAAGAAGAAAAAAAGAATGACGAAAAAACATTCGATACTCGTGATATCGGTAATAAGAATAATAAAAATAATAAAAATGCTGACAGCGGTTTTTGCTTCTTTCTATACCTGTGGACGTTCTCATTACGTTGTTTTTTTGTACTTTTTTTCTGATTACCACGGTCACGAGGTTGACAAAAATATACGTTTCTGATATTCATTTGTTAATTATGACTATTAGTAAGAAAGAAAAATCGTGTCAATAATATATGTATATGTATATGCTTGACATATTATGCATAGTTTTGCTTCCTTGTTTTTTTTTGCCAAGAATTACAATACACTAGAATATGTTTGGATGTGAATGTTAGTTGCCATAAACACACATCGGCCCACCTACGTAAATAAATGATTCCATGACGTCATGTTTTTTTCTTTTTTGGCACATATCCATAAAAAGAAAAAAAACAGCAATTCACGAATTTTTCCTACCACAAAGAGAAAAAAGGGGGAGAACGAGAGAGAGAAAGAGGGAAAGAGAGGAAGGAAGAGAAAAGAAAAGAAGGAATGAATAAAGAAAGCTCTAGACGATATGTAAGTCTACTAAAATCTATATTTATACCGATAACGAAATGAAATTGTGAAGTTTTTCTTTTTTTTTTCGATCAAAAAAAATATGCACTGAAACTTTCTTCTTCTAAATAGAAGAGAACAAATAAATTTGTCCGACAAGACATATATTTTATGTTTTTATCAATGGCAGCAATAGTTCGACCACAAAAGAAAAACAAGAGAAACATATCGTATTTTTTTAGCGTCATAGAAAAGCAAGAGAGAGAAGAAGAGAGAGAAAAAGAGAGCAAAAAAAAGGAACGTGACACTGTGTCAACGACCGAGAAAGAAATTACGCGATGGCTTAAGAAGGAACAAAGCAGAGGGTGAAGAGAGTGAAAGGAAAAGAGAGAAAATATATTCCACTACAAAGAGAGAGAAAAACCATCATATCTTGTGACGTTAGAAACCAAACAGTTCATTCATCATTACGTAGTAGTACATTCGCGAAGAGTCGTAGTCCACATCATCATGAAGCTTAAACATTAAATACATTATCAGCATAGAGATAAGGTTACGTAAGTGCATTTCTAAATTCCGTGTTCGTATAGTTCTTCGTATACTTGTTAGAAATATACTTTTGACAGAATAGAACAGACATCTTTGTGTCATGTGCTCGCCGCTTCTTTTTCTTTCTATCGCTTTCATAGATTGTGTAATATAGAAATTTTTTTTCTCATTTTTTTTTTTTTGACATATTCGACTGCACCACATTCGAACTATAAATATATTGAGAAACAATCACGAGTTGCAGGTGTTATGGTTTATTAATACATTATATATTTTCTTTTCAATCATTAACACAGAAAAGTGAATCGGTTGATATTGACCTACGTTTTTTTTCTTCTTGTAATATATTTATAATACGATGGTTTTTTTTTTTATATCATCTTTTGTATTTTCATCAATTCATCTGTATATAATGTAATATTTACTTCTTTTTTTAGGTCGAATTGGCCTGATTTATTATATAATTATTATTTTTTTAAATCTTATACATATTGTACATACAAATTTGTATTAATACAAACCTCAAAATAATTCGTGAATAATGGCTTATGAACGACGACGTTTATCAACAG